CAAGGGAGCCGAAAAGGGACAGCGAGGGGCAACGAGCGAGCGAGAGGGCGGCGAAACGACCACCGGGAGGGAGAGTTCTAACGGTAGAGGGGGTTAGAGGGTGTAGAGGGGGTAGCGAGAGGAACAGACACGGGGATACGGAGGTGGCATCGTGTCGCTGGCCTCTGCGGCAAATCTGCAGGTTTCTGTGGCGTGTGCGTGACACGATCGCGAGGATTATTAATCCGGCGGAAGTTTCGAGCCGTACGGAGAAGCGTGTGCCTCGGTAATCGTGCATGTCGCGTGTGATCGTGCTCGGGCCAGTTCGAGCGGAGAAACGCTCGCCGGGGGGATGAAAGTGTTCGATGGAGCGACGCAGCATCCTCGACGCTCGCGTTTCCACGGGAAAGGTGTTCGGTGCTTGTCGTCGTCGTCGGGTCTCCAGCGGCGAGATTGATTGATCGACCCGAGAGGATAATAGAAAAGTACTCGTCGATGCCAGTCGACGACCCCGCGGCTCAGGTGGGGGATGTCCTCTCGCGAGAACGGGCAAACATACGCTCGCACGCTCGGGACTAGGCGCGTGGAGAGGAAGCTGACAAGTGCATCGGTGACGTTACTACGCTCCTACACGCTTCTGCTCGCGTTGCCCTTCGATTCGCGACCCGAACCGCCACCCCTGCGTGATCTCGAGTGGTGTCCTCTCGTTCGTGCCGCGAGTACTGATCCAGGAAGCCAACCTCCCGCCGGAGAATAAACAAAAGGACACCGGATCGTTTCTCTGCTCAAACCAGCTGAACAAGACGGACTGCGAAAACAGTGTGCTCTCTCGCGTTTAACTTTTCAACGAGCCACTAAGCGTCGCCGCGATTGGTCGACCAAGCGAGCGTACGGATTTTTCGTCGCATCCGCAGATTCATGCAAGTACGTGTATAAGCGAATTTGCCGCGGTCGATGCACTCGAAAGCTCGCTCTGGGGGAGTCGAGTGACGCGTACACGATGCAACGACGACCCGTCACCGGGCTCGATTTCGAGCAATCGACCGTTCTTAAACGCCGATCCTTTTTCCTCTTCTTTCGATCTCTTGTTTACCGGTGATCCTCGCCAGACTTACGTCCTCCGATTCGGGGACACGGTAATCGGCCACGCTCCCGGCCGACTTTCTCGCTAATTTATGATCGATATAAATTTCGCCGGGCGTTACGCGAGCATACCATTAGCGGACGTCAGCAATTAATATACCTTAACGCGGAGAGCAGCCGGAAGCTGGGTCGGAGAAGTATGGCTGGCGCTTACAACCACGTTGTTTCCGCACGCTCGTTGCCGTTTTCGGCGCACACGGGGCAATCGAACACCGGGGTGACGGCCCTCGAGATAAGGGACGCTCCTCGAGGTTATATAATTTCCGGATTAGAGGATCGTTGTTTTTCTTCCAGATTAATGGTAGAGGAGGAAACGGGTCGACAAGTGGGCCAACGTGCACGGCCGGTGCACTTAATCAGAATGAAATCTAAGAAGTCACGGGCAACAATGGCTTTGTGATGCACCAAGGAGCCTGGTCGGCGAAATGAAAGTCCCCGAGAAACAATGGAAGCGTCCACGCAAGCATGACGGCTCCATTCAGATTCGCAGACGGCATGCTTAGTGGCGGCCAAAGCAGACGTTCAAGTAAGTGTAAGCACTGCATTATTTTTGCTTAGATACACAACCAGCTTTCTTCGATATCCGTTCGGCACCTCGTTCTTGCAATATTTATACTCGCAGGGACGTTTGAACGGTACTGGAACGTCTTTGAATAGGTTATGAAGCTTTGTTGTCCTATGGGATGTCTTGGATTACGTTTGTGGTTTCTCCTTAAAAAACTCGCATACATTTTATCGAGGTCATTATTTCAAATTTATAGAACTCTGTAGGGACATTTTGATAGCTTTAAACAGGTTATAAATCTGTTTTGTTGGGTGGTATGTAAATGTCGCTTTGGATTAGGTCCATAAATTCAGCTTGCTTTAGGTTCAAAATCACGCGGAGAATTTTTATGGATCGAGGTCATTTATTATTTCAGATTTATTTTATTCCGCCTTTCTTACAATTTTAATAAAATATTCCTTGACTAGCAATTTATTCGAATCTAAGTTTTGGATTTAGAAAATCTAGGGCCGGAGAGAAAGAACTTCAATGAACGGGGTTGTTAATTATCCGAGATTTGCAACGCTAAAAGTAGCTGGTCCTTCAATTATTTTTCGCCCGGTGAATGAAGGATTTTTATGAATAGGCCTTCGTTAATTATTATATTTCGTGTAATACTAGTCGGAGATAGTGATCGATAATCATTCATGCTCCCGTATTAAACGCGTTTTGAACTTTGGGAGCATCCCCGAGTAAGTTACGGATTTGTTTCGTTGAAGAGACGTTTTGATTGGTTCGCTTATGTTGTATAGCCGAGTTAGATTCAGTTATGAAACGGATTAACGAAAGATAATGTAAATTTTAATGACTAAGTCTATATTCGACAAATTATTTGCTCCGGCAAAGTATTACGGTAATTGGTAGTTTGCATATTTTATAGATCGACTTTTCTCCGCTAAATGCATAAACTTCCAGAATTTAATGTCCTGAATAAGTTACCGAGTTTATTTAAACGCAGCAAGAATTTTCTCCTTTAATAAAAACTGTTAAAGTTATTCGAGAATAACACTACTTCCGATGAAAACAAATTTTCGATATCGCGAGAGTTGCTTTCTTTTTATTTTAATTAAATTTTCTTTCGGCCAGTATTCGAAAAATATTTGCACAACGGCGCGTATCGATCCCGTGCATAAGGTGCATAGAAGCTACAACTTTTATCCTTCCATAAATTCGATACTTTGATCTTTGCGTGTTCGGAACACGCGTGGAGGGCAACGTATTTATCGATATTTCGTTATTCATATTCTCTCCACTTAATGTGAACTCGAACCGGGAAATATAGTTCAAAACGTTTCACGAATTCATTTGGATTGCATCGTCATTAATATTTCGTGATCGGTTAAATAAATTATCGTGCCATTACGGTCTCAAAGTATTTAGGTATTTATTAAGGGAGGGTTTCAGACACTGTTCATAATCCTCTGATTAATTATATCAGCTTTCTAGGTAAATGGTAATTGTATAACGAACGTTATGGCTTCCTTCGTTCTACGCATTATCAGCACTTTCCTCTATTGTTCTTCGTTTAAACGGTTGCTTTTAATTATATCTCTATTATCCTTCATTTTGATTCAAAACTTCTTTCAAAAGAAAAAATCATCTTCTCTTTCATGATTTATTCAATTTCATTAAATAATCCTGTACGAAATTTGCAGTAAACCGCGTTTACACTTTCAAAGGAGTTTAAGAAAAATTCTCA